GTGCACCCCGCAGCTGAGAAAACTCCTCGCACCCATCTTTGACCCCATCACTCCTCCTCTATCTGCATCCTCTTCTTCACCATCGCCAAGCTCCTCACCTAAACCCGAGCAGGTAAATGTCAGCCTTAAGTCTTTGTGCATCAGTCGAAGTGTCTCTGCCTCCTTTTAACCCTTAATCGATGTTCGTGTCTCAGAGCCGCAGTGAAGAGGAGGTGATGGACACCAGCGAGGTGGAAAAGTTCTTCGCCTTTTGGCCAGAAGATGCCCAGAAGAAAGAAACCCCGGTGGTAAGAGCACGAGGCGATGAGGCGTCAACAAAAGACATCCTGATAACAACTGTTCAGTCAACTGCTTTCTGCAAAATATTCAGTCCTACCTGCATTTTCTCAGGAGATGGAGGGGATGGACCTGGACATGTTGGCTCCGTACATCTCCATGGACGATGACTTCCAGCTGACCTTCCTCAGCAGTATGACCGAGGAAGCTGAGAAACCTTCCGAAACTTCAGCAACAAGCAGGAAACGGTAAGTTAGACCAGCGCTATAAAACGATTGGTGCAAAGGTGTGTTTAGAGCAAACAGGAAGTCAAGTTTCACCTTGCATTATTGTAACTGAGCACATATGCCAAAATGGGAAATTTGTCCTGAGGGAGGCGCCAGTAAGAAGGCCGTGTTCTTGTCCTGTGTGGCAGTGGCCCATTCAGGACATTGTAGAGCTCCAGCTTTTTATTGTAGGTGAAGACACAGCTAAAAATTTATATCTGAACATTAAAACAAAGATTTACGTGTTTTACAATCCGTCTGTCTCTCGTTCAGGACTCATGACTCTGCTGAAGAGATGCTGTCACCAGTGATGCTCCAGGACAAGAGACAGAAAAAGGATCCTTCCATGGAGGAGGAGCTTCTTCTCACCCACAAACTACTGGTGAGTGGAAGAGGAGGAAGAGCCGAGAGGGATGATTTTAAGACGTTTAATCCAAAATGTTTTCTGTCTTGATGACTTGTTGATGCAGTGTTCAGTTTTTACCTTTAATAAAAAACCAACAAATTAGAAAATCTGAAAAATCTGTATTTAGTTGGTTTCTACTAATAGATGCTATGTAATGATAATTATGTTTTCAGAACAAACTTTTTCACCTGACCACACGTTAACCTCCAATTTCAGGACAGTCTGGACGAAACCGACCGACCAGATCTGATCATGGACCCGAGACCGGAGAGTCGCAGCCATCTGCTCACAGACAGAGATCCGGTCTTAGGAGGCATGCAAGGACTGTGTGACACTGCAGGTAAGATCTGTAACCTCAGCTCACATTATCAGACTTGCTTCAAATTAACATCAGAGGATAACGGGCACGGAGTGACTTCCATCCCAAATTCAGGTGATTTGGCGCCATCTAGTGGTCATACTGAGATAATAATGTTTGGGAATCTCTGCAAAATATTCCACACAGTTCAATAACTGATCATGTTGGTGCATAGGCTATTTACAGATTTCCTGTTATGATAATGTTGGATTGTAAAGGGAGTGATCTTTTTCACTCAGATATTAAACGTGATGGTTCTGGAGCATAAACTGTTCATCACAGATGGCAGTTTTCTCTCTATTCTGGCTCCTTTCAGGTTAGATCTTATTTATCAGTGGTTAGCTCACAGCTAAAGAGTGCTTAGTTCAAACCCCTGCAGGGACCTTCTGTGACTCTGTGGGGTGTTTTTTACCTCCTGCTGTTAAAACATGCCAGAAATCACTGCCTGTGTAGGTCTGAGAGCTTAAGAGTTTCAGCTGTGAAGTGTCCTCTGACCTAACCGTGTCTCTCTCTTTGTGTCTCGCAGCTCTGATGAAGGACATATTTGTATCTCGCCCGACTCTCCTCTCGCCACCTCTCTCGCCTATGACCTAAAGGAATTCCTGCCAGTCACGAGTTGGCCCGACTTCACCGCTTAAAGCGAGAAAGTCGACTTTGGATCTGCCTGCAAACACTGCATCCTGAGCGCACACCTACAGACATGCACGCACAAGATTCGAGACTCACACACGCTGCATCACTTCGTTATCGGATCGTTGATTGTAGCCGAAGCCAAACGGTCTCTTGACGTTGGCTTTTCCCGTCCGTCTCTCACTGTGAAACGAGCCGGCGACCCGTTCTGGAGCCGGGAAAAGTCAAAGCAAAGATGCTCCAAAATTGGCTTCCCGCAACCCGGCGCAGCTCAAGCGCTCGCTTTCCTCCATCATCACTTACTTTTCGTCAGGGATTTAATCTGAGAAGTCATCACTGAGGTCTGTCCGTTCTGACGGAAACGGCAGGTGGTGCTAATTTTCCTCATGCGAACGATGTGAAAGATTAATCATCCCCAATGGGTTTAACGGTGAGACAAAAAGAGACTTGTGTCTCTGCAGCTAAATTTCTCACAGTTTGATCCAATTTTGGTGTACAGAACAACCATGTCAGCAAAAATCAGTCGTCCTTCAGTCAGTGTCTCAACTAACAAAAAATAAATAAATCACTCGCTCTTCCACTTTACTCAGAAATAAACAAAAAAAAAAAAAACTTGCGAAATCAGTGGCATGTCATTTCAGTGGCATATTTTTATGTGTTTTTTATACACTTGTAAACATTTTTTTTCTTTCTATTAAATGATGCAATTACTAGAAAGTTCTGATAGTTTTATTTCAGCATTCTCTTCAGATCCTGAGTCGCCCTTCGTCGCAGATTGTTCTTGATGTCTAATCTTTAATCCCGGGGTGCCCGGTCTGTGCGCTTCATCTTCTATATAAACGTATATATATATATATTTCTATAATCGATTTATCTTGCCATTATTGTTAGTTAAAGCATCAGTAGAGTAAGCTTGTTTATATGCTGGTAGAAATGTGATGAAACACTAGAATTTAGTTTTAGTTTTTTTTGTCCTTAAGATCAAATTTTATGACTTCTAACAAATTTTACCTCAAATTAAATGAGTTGAAAGTAGGCTTGCATCCTTCAGTTGCAGTGTTT